TTTTTTTTTTTTTTTTACTCGTCTCATAATTTCAGTTCAGACTTTAAATTAATAACATACTAGATTACTATTCTAAAATTACAAAATTAAGGCAGATAATAAATTTTCCTTTATTTAAGATAAGCATTGAACAAAACTTTAATAATAATCAGTTCGAATAAGTTATAAAAAGCCTTATTGTGAAAAGGGGAAAAGGAATAATTATGTTGAGCTCAAGTTATGTAATTACTTATTGTATTTTAAGTTACATACGAACAAACATCAAAAGTTAATTACAAAATAAAAAGAAAGGTGTGACATTCAAGCTCACAAGGATTGATCTTCGCCATTACAGTGGAAGTTCAGTCAGTATAAAGAAGGCGCTACTGATGAACTACAATAGGTGTTGCCAGATATAAGAAAATAACGATTACATTATTTATGATACTATCAGGGGGGCCTGAATGGCCGAGTGGCTAGCGCTCCGGCGCTCGGTACCACAGGTTTCGGGTTCGAGTCCCGGCGGTGCCATGTATGTTTGTAGTGGTTCGGAATCCACTTTAAACTGTAGGTCCCGGTCCAATAGGATCGTAGAGCGTTGCGGGGGCAATGTTACTCCGCGTCTGTGGCTTATCTTCAAGTTACACGCGCCCCCTGGGTAATGCAAAGTGAGTACGTCTTTGCAGCGCTTTCATTAAGGTATCCGAGACCAAGCTGTCTAAGTGTTTGCCAGCTGCATTAGAAAGAAAAAAAATGATACTATCAGTACAAGTGACTCTAAGTAGATATTTATCCTGAAAACACTTGTACCACGAAAAGGTATCCCCAACTGGTAGAATATTTATACAGAAGAAGAGGTGAGTTGTCTGGAGCTTGACCTGGATCTTTCCTCATTAATCAAACGAATTACTGTCACCTATCTTATCAGTTTTATTTAAATTCTGCACAAGCTTGTTTTTTTCTCGTCCCATAATCTTAGTCGAGACTTTAAATTAATAACATAGATTACAATTACAAAATAACAAAATTAAGGTAAATGATAAATTTTCCTTCATTTAAGTCTAACATTGAATAAAACCTTAATAAAAAATCAGCTCGAAATCCTGTAAAAAAATCACTTTTCTGTTAATTCCACTTCCTTTTTCAGTGCCTATTGAAAAAAATAGGTGGAATTTAACAGTTCCCTTCCCCCTTAAAAAATTAAAATCGCTTTATTTTCCTTATCTCCAATGTCTAGGAGAAAAAATCACCAGGAAAAAGTCTCCTTTTTTGCTTCTCTTATTTCCCATTAAAACATTTTACGATCTGCTTTTATAATTACCGACTCTCCTAGGAGTTGGGAGTCCCCTGTAAGACATCCCAGACGAGATTGGATCAAGAAGCAGTATATTGCAAACTCATGACAGCATTTTAATACCGTATAAGAATAGTTACTGTCAAATAAATAAAGACAGATTTCTGGACGAAATCTCTTTTTCTGAGATGATTCAATTGCTTGTTCAAATTGCTATTGCGAACGGGTTGTGAAATATTGCTATCGTGTGTGCTCGCTTTCCAAACGACTCGTCGACGAAATTCGTTTCAACAAAATCAAACACAAATATTCTTTTATTATTTTTTTCTCTCTTTATTATCTGACATCGTCTTCAGTAATATGCCCGATGAATATCACTTTAACAAATAACTTTTCTTTTATTCTTAGAATTTCAAATGCATTTTCATTAAAACAGGATTGTTAAGATTCGTGTAAAAGAAATGAGAAAATGTCTTCTTTTCTTATTTGAAAATTTTTCCTTTTCTCTTTTTCTACATCTGTAGAATAGCTGGGTATTTTATAAGACATGAAATTCTATAGCAAAAAATAAATAAATAAATAAATAAAATAAAATTCTGCGCATTCCAAAGATATTGGATTGGAAATCTCATTACATTCAAAATGTAAAAGCAAACCTGTAACAAATTGAGAAATGGACATTCATATTATTAATTTTTTTTAAGTTCAAAAAACTATTTCTATCAGCAAATATTCCATAACGCTAATAATACTTATGGTATTTAAGAGGCTTTCTTGAAGGTGTCTTTAAAAGGAACAGGTCCATATTTGTGAAACTAGATAAAACAAACATAACTAGCCTATCAATGACAAAACCTTCTATTCAAATGTATTTAATCTACCTTTTTAAGTGATGCTAGTTAGAATTATATTAGTTTGCTTCACTTACAATGTCTATTTTCAGCAAGCTGTGAATTAACAATGAGTGTTTATAAATAAGCATAGTTATCTCTAAACAACTATAATTTTATCTAGTGATTCTCAAATATTTTTAAGTTAAATATTTTTAAGTTCTATTTAAATACCTACTAATAATTGTAGGCACATTATATAGAAATTTATGTCAAATAAGCATCCGTTACTAACACCTCATAGTTTCATATCTAAATAGTCAATTCCACAGACTACTACTTTCAGACGGCGGAGTCTCAGAAGCTGAATGAAAATTTTTTTAACGTGGAAATTCACATAGATGCGAGCGTTTCTAGTAGCCAACCATTTAAATTACCACTCCTAGCTTCTCGGAATCTTTCTTTGGCGCATTATTGCTATTTGGCGACTTTTTATGTGAAGAAAGAAGAAAAAAAAGCAATCAGAAAGGTAAGTTTGTCATGACAGCTATCTTTGAATGGGATAACTGACAAGAAACATAGTAACTATATTTATTTTTATATCTGGACACATATTTCTCTGGAATATCACAGGGCACACTCAGAAATCTTCTAGGGCGCACCCGTTGAGAACTATTGGTTTTATTCGGAATCTTATCAGTATTTTATTGAGAACGGATTACACACAACCAGACTATGATTGCTTTCAGTTTTAATAAAATGTCTTTTATAATATCAAGCGCGCTGTTTTTAGCCAATTTTAAAACTGGTTTTTTCCATAATGTAAGCTGAAATTTTGCCTTGTATACAGACTGGATATTCCCTAATAGACTTATGTGGTTATTTCCGAGATCAAAATTATGTTCACTATGGAGAGATACAAATGATTTGTTTACGTTAGATGCATGCAAACTGATACAAATCTGATCTGAGATACATAACAGTTTCAAAATTATAGTCTGAATCTGAAAAATATCAAATACATTTTTGAAATGCAGTGTAAGCCAAAAAAAAAGAATTATAGATCAAAATCTTCTCTGATATCTAGGCCCTAAGCAATTCAAAATGAATCATCGAATGAGTAAATCATACCTTCGCGGTTTTGAATGTCCATAAAGGTTACATCGAAGAGGTTCAATTTCTAAGTTTACGTCACTTAAAATGATTACGTGCGCTTTGACAACGTGCCTCACCGTTAAAAGCACGCTATGTGGAGGTTTTACCAGCTTAACAAGAACTTATATTAATTATTTTGAAGATGTTCTCTAGGAAGAGACCTTCTGTATTTAATAGTTACGAAAATTGGAACAAAAAAATAAAATTTACATATCAAAATCTTTTCTGATATTTAGGCCCTAACCAATTCAAAATGAATCATCGAATGAGTAAAATCATGGCTTCGGGGTTTTGAATGTTCCTGAGGGTTACATCGGAGGAGGTTCAATTTTTGGCTTTAAATGACTTAAAATGGTAACGTACGCTTTGACTATGTGCTTCGCAGTTACCAGCTCTTTTGTGAAAATATCCCCACTAATAACAAGAACTTATATTATTTATTTTGAAGGCCTTCTACAGGAAGGCTTCTTCTCTTTTTAATGGCTATGAAGATCAGAACCATAAAGAGAATTTTCATATCATTTATCTTCACTGATATCTAGGCCCTAAGCAATTCAAAATGAATCATTGAATGAGTAAATCATGGCTTCGCGGTTTTGAATGTCCGTGAGGGGTTACATCGGAGGAGGTTCAATTTCTGCCTTTACCTGACAAAATGATAACTTAGCTTTGACGATGTGCCTTGCCGTTAAAAGCGTGCTGTGTGTTTTTCCACGCGTAACAAAAACTTATATTAATTTGTTTTCCAAGAAGGGATCTTGACTACTTACCGACTACTGAGATGGGAATAAAAAAAGAAAATTTTAATTTTAAATTCTTCTCTGATATCTAGACCCTTAGCAATTCAAAATGAATCATCGAATGAGTAAATCATGGCTTCTCGGGTTTCAATATCCGTGAGGGATACGTCGGAGGAGGTTTAATTTCTCCCTTTATGTGACTTAAAATGATAACGTACGCTTTGACAATGTTTCTCTCCGTTACCAGCGCTTTGTGTGGAGGTTTTACCACGCTTAACAAGAACTTATATTAATTATTTTGAAGACATTCTCCAGGAAGAATCATCGAATGAGTAAATCATGGTTTCGGGTTTTTGAATATCCGTGAGTGTTACATCGGAGGAGGTTCAATTTCTGCCTTTACGTGACGTGTGCTTTTACAACGTATTATATGTAACGTATGCTTTGACAACGTATTTATTATAACGTATGCTTTGACAACGTATTTATTATAACGTATGCTTTGACAACGTATTTATTATAACGTATGCTTTGACAACGTATTTATTATAACGTATGCTTTGACAACGTATTTATTATAACGTATGCTTTGACAACGTATTTATTATAACGTATGCTTTGACAATGTGCCTTGTCGTAAAAAGGGCGCTGAATGGAGATTTTTTTTACGCGTAACAAGAACTTATATTAATTTGTTCTCTAGGAAGGAATCTGTTTGTTGTTGTTGTTTCTTATCCCACTTGGCTGGCCAAGCCCACAAGCCCATATGGACTCATGATTGAAGGGGAAGGAAGCAGCTTCTGTTGTGATGGAGCACCCGTAGGTAGAAGCCTGACTTTTGCTCCGTGACGCTCTTACAGTCATAGAAGACCGGGACCTACGGCTTAAAGTGGATTCCGAACCACTACAAACATCCATGGCACCGCCGGGATTCGAACCCGAAACCTGTGGCACCGAGCGCCAGAGCGCTAGACACTCGGCCATTCAGGTCCCAAATTTGCCAACGGCACGCAGTGTTCCCAGGTGGTCACCCACCCAAGTACTGACCGCGCCCAGTGATGCTTAACTTCGGTTATCTAACGAGAACCGGTATATTCAGCATGGTACGGCCGTTGGCAGGAAGGAATCTTCTCTATTTAACGACTACGGAGATGGGGGGAAAAAGAAGATTTTAATTTTAAATTCTTTTCTGATATTTAGGCCCTCAGCAATTCAAAATGAATCATCTAATGAGTAAATCATGACTTCGCGGTTTTGAATGTCTGTGAGGAGGAGGTTCAATATACTTGTCGGTTCGACTTTCAAATAGTTGTCGTTTTGGTTACGAATTTTAAACCGGAAGAACAACTTTTTTTACCGAAGCAGCCATCAGGTTTTCAGAAAATTAATCTTCAAGAAAAATATTTTTATAAATAAAAAAAAAAAAAACTTACTAGCTATTCTTGGGAGACAAAAACGTAAAGTTTTTCATTCATAACTTTTTTATATATATATTCTATTATAAATGTGAAAAAAATTAAAATTTATGTGATTATGAATGAAAGCAAACAAATCAATTATTCACATGTATCTGATTTACACACATGCCCATAAATTAAGGATAATGAAGTTCAGGCAAAGAAAGAGACAGAAGCAAAACAAATTTGACTTATTTGTAAAGTCTATTTATTAAACAAAAGGTAAAGAGCAAAAAAGATGCTATATGCTTGATATAAATAATAAAAATTGCGATTTTTACTCCCTGGAGCAAATTTCAAAAAAGAACCTATTTACAAAAAACAGTATAACATGGTTAGTATGATGGTTAATAGGGAGTATGTCTCCCGGACGATGCAATACAGGCCTTACAACGCCTAGGCATGCTGAGTATCAAATTATCAATCTGATCTTGGGGAATATTGCACCACTCATCAAGCAATGCCCTCCGAAGTTCCGGTTGACAGGTGGGAGGGGGTTGACGGGCTACTATTCGTCGGCCAAGCATATCCCACACATGCTCTATTGGATTCAAGTCCGGTGAGTATGCTGGCCAATCCATACGGGTGATATCCTCCAATTGAAGGCATTCGTCTACGTCATTCGGCACGTAAAAAATCATCCAAATGCTTCCTTTGTGCCATAACTATGCGGTTATTGCACTGAAAGGCTTTTAAAACGCTTGTGAACAATTTCACTTCTTTGCCACCATTCCTTATATACCCCTCTCTTACACTGTCGTCATTGTGACGTACTATCCGCGCCATCTGGTGGTTTCCTGTAATTTGCATATTCTTCTTCAAATGTGTGTGATAATTCTACAGGTGAAATTTTTATTTTAGAGTTCAATTTCTGTGTGATTCTGAATTATCCTTAATTTATGGACATGAGTGTAAATCGTTCTTTAGAAGGAAAAATAATAAGTAGTTTTTCTCTCCTAACTACAAAATGTTTATTTTTTTCTGCTTTGTTCAATATGCATTACATGTGTGTATCATTTTTCTGTCTTTTGAAAATTGACGAAAACAGAAACAGATGGCTGATAATAAATGTTTATCTATTTATATCTCGCATCGAATATCAAATGATTATTTTCACGACGAATATCAAACGATTAAAAATAAAAATTTACTATACATAACATGCCTTTATCCATACAAATAATAAATATTTTCAAAAGATTTGATTTTTTTATTTACATCATTCTTTTTTTATACTGAAATTTGCGACCGCTATATCTTTGATTGTAAAATAATTTTTTTATAAGTGATTTATAAAGTGAAATATTAAATGCAAGTGAAAATATTAAATAAAATTGTGGGATTTTACTAATCTGATAAAATTAAGAAAAAAAATTACGAATATCAAATTATTAAAAATAAAAATTTATTATGCACAACATGCCTTTATCTATACAAATAATAAATATTTACAAAGGATTTGATTTTTTTTATTTTTATTTTTACATCATTCTTTTTATTATTATTATTATACTATACTATACTAAAGCTATATGTTTGACTGCAAAGGATTTTTTAACGTTATTTATAATATGAAAATATTAAATAAAATTGTGTGATTTTAATAATCTGATACAATTACGCATTTCTTTTTATTTGTCAAATTAATATTATAAATATATATAAAATATTGAATATAATTTGACTTTTTTACAATTATATCGTTAATTTACTAACGGTGCTTTTTATCAACAAATAACCCCCAGTAAAACATATCCGCTTTAAAAAAATCTTGAAACAGAAGATGAAAAAAATAAATAAATTACTTTTTATATTATCATATAGACGCACGTCTACACTAGAATCAGGTTTTCATTGATGGTCCTACCTTTCTTTATATATTTTTTTAATATAATGGTTAGTTAGGATTTAGTGGAATTCAACAGTAAAGATTGCGAGAATTTTTTCCCCTGATCGCTTTCCTATTGCACTAAAAAGAACTGGTATTCAATACAAATTTATCATAGCATCATTAATCAGTCTAGTGCACGGCAAAAAATGAAACTGCTTTACGTGATTTTCATGCTTGGTTGTTTCCTTCGACGGTTACGCAATATTTATCTTGCTTACAGTGTATATGATCGATGAATTAAAGCATTTTTACACACATTAAATATGTCTCAAAGGTGTTATATGTTTAAACAAATGAAAAATTGAGACAATTTTTGTTAAAAAATTTTATACTAAATTTTTACTTGCCATAAAGCTGTTTCAAATTCATTATGACTGCAGTTAAGCAACATTTATTAAACCGAAAACGTCTTTTTGCGTGTTTATTTGAATAAATTCGGTTTGAATGTAATTTAAATTTATTTTTTATGCAGCAGTTTAAATCTTAATTAAAAATCTTATCGCTCCTACCAATTTATAAGATGATTTTTTTTAAAGAAGAAAGCTGTATAAGATGATTATTTTTTTTTATCTTTTAAAAGGTTTTATTCCGAAAAACCTTTTTAAAGAAAAATTTGAAAATGTCTAGTCTATTTAAATTTTTTAAAAATAGCGGCCATGTTCAATTTTAAACTAACCAAACGAATAGATAAATGAAATTAAATGAACTGAAACCTTTTTTTTTTCAAATATTCAGAAGTTTATTTTTTATTTAAAAACATCCTTTTTTTATTTTATTAATTTATTGGATATATTTTTTTTTCTAATCTGATCAAATATATGAAAAAAATGGAATTACTTTTATTATTTTCACATTCAATTTTGTGTACGAATTGCTTATATATACCGCAAAAAGCATTTACTTCATTGTCAACTATATAGATTTATTACTACAAAAACAGGAAAATTTTTTTAAAGAAAAAAAAGTATAACATGATTTTTTTTTATCTTTTAAAATGTTTTTTTTTCTGAAGAAAACCCTTTGAAGAAAAATTTGAAAATGTCTAGTCTATTTAAATTTTTAAAAAATGACAACCATATTCAATCCTGAACTAACGAAATGAATGGATTAATTTAATTAAATTAAATGAAACAACTATTTTTAGAAAAAAAATTAGAAGTTAAGAATCATTTCTTTTTTTTATTTTTTTAATTTATTAGATATATTTTTAACTTTTATCTAATATGATCAAATATATTTTGCAAACAATGGAATTATTTTCAGTATTTTTACATTGAACTTTGTATACGATTTGCTCATATATACCTCAGAAAGCATTTATATCATTATCAATTACATAGACTTATTACAACAAAAACAGAAATTTTTTTTAAAGAAAAAACAGTCTAAGATGATTATTTTTTTTATCTTTTAAAATGTTTTATTCCGGGAAAAACCTTTTAAAGAAAAATTTGAAAATGTCTAGTCTATTTAAATCTTTAAAAATATGACAGCCATGTTCTATCCTAAACTAACCAAATGAATGGATAAATGAAATTAAATGAACTGAATAATTTTTTTTTTCAAAAATTTAGAAGTTTATATATTTTTTTTAATTTTATTAACTTATTAGATATATTTTTAATTTTATCTAATTCTGGTCAAATATATTATGAAAAATGGAATTACTTAGTATTTTCACACTCAATTTGTGTACGAATTGCTCTTATACACCTCAGATAGCATTTATTTCATTATCCATTATATGGACTTATAACAACAAAAACAGCGATTTTTTTTAAAGAAGAAAACAATATAAGATGATTATTTTTTTAAAAGCTTGAAATCTTTTTCTTCTAATACAAAACTTGGTGATACGCGCACGCTAACTTTTATCTTCTACTTGGGAAAAGAAATTTCGATCTTTCTTGTGACATGGGATGTCCAATAAATAACTCAAGATATAAGATAAAATAAACCTCGAATGAATAAATGAAATTAACAATTGTTTTAAGGAACTGAAACAATTGTTTTTCAAAAATTTAGAAGTTTTTTATTTAAAAAAATATTTTTTTATTTTATTAATTTATTAGATATATTTTTAAATTTATCTAATATTATCAAACATATTATGCAAAAAAAGGAATTACTTTTAGTATTTTCACATTCAATGTGTACTAAGTGCTTATATATACCCCAGAAAGCAATTATTTCATTATCAACTATATCGCCTTATTACAACAAAAACAGCTTGAAAACTTTTTTCCTCTAATGCAGAACTACAGTGATACGCGCACGCTAATTTTTTATCTTCCACTTGGGAACGGAAATTTCGATCTCTCTTCTGACATGGGATGTCCAATAAATTACTCAAGATATAAGATAAAATAAACCTTTAAAAGACCATTACGCCCTGATGAGGTAAAAAAACAACCAAAATATTTAAGCACCGAGGTAGCAATGGAACAGTCTACCAAGAAAGAAGGAGGGTTCGAACTCTTACACCATGAATCAGTTAATAATCCATCCGCCTATGTGTTCGACCTCAATTCATACCCTGAGGTGCGGAAGTGAGAAGGAGAGCAGCTGTTCAGAGCACCTCACCCCTTTTTCACCCATTTTAACCCTTTTGGTACCGCTTCGGTCCTTTTATAATGTTGGCCCTCAAAAACCAGACTGTTAAGAAGGCAGCTTGCAAAAAAGCGAATCCTGCAAACATCTGCCATCAAGTTCAGAAATCGGCCTACTTTGAGTGAAGAGAATGCGGCCACGGCCAGACGCACTGTT